TAAATGATCTTTTTGCCACTATCATCATACTGAAAACTTGAGTGAGCTGAATAGAAATATATCAGAGATGTATTGTTTCAATTTAACATTTACAGTATATACTGTACACACTGAAAACGTATATGTAATAGTTCTTATGATGGTTGCTCGTTTAAAAAATATATATATTATATAAAATTTGGTCAAAAATCTACGTAAGTTTTAACTGTTACAATAAAGGTGTGTTCAAATTAATGAAACCGTTGATATTTTTGTATTGTTACCTAAATGATGTTTTAACTAGCTAAATTGCAATACATTTAGAGTGAATTATAATTGAAAATGTCTTTTAACTGATTAAACACAGATCTATGCTAATTCTAAGAACAAATTATTGTTTGGCTGTATAATCAGAATGCCTGTGCGAGAATGCAAAAGGGATTAAAAAATGCGTACGCAATAAATGTACCTTTATTGTTCTTTATTTTGAACCACATTGTATGTTCTCAAAATATGACTATATATTTCAAAAAGATGTTTAAAACGGAAGCGCGGTGTAATAAAAATTGTTATTTTTTATGTTTATAAAAGAATAGGTGTCTGTATGAATGGTGAACATGGATTTATAAGATAAATGAAAACCGATAAAAGTTAGGAAAAAGTATTTCGTTTTAAAAATAGAAATATCTAAAAAAAATATGCCAAGACGATGTACAGTTATTGGTGTCGAGTTTTGGCGGTAAAATCATACTAAACATGTTGTACCATACTAATAAATTATGTATTTAAACTTTTCTGTTTTATTTTTTTTCACCCACTAATACTTACACGATGAATTTCGTGAGCCTTTTTGTTTGTGGCGGGTAGACTCAGATCTTCGATTATTGGACCGTAGATTATAAACATTTAAAATGACCATAGATGGCGTTTTGTAATTTTTGGCGGGAAAGCGGGGAGCAAAGTTAATTAAAATAGTTTCGTTAATTTAGTGTTTCTTCAGATTTAAATATGTGATAACAGTGGTTTATTGACTTTTTATCATCTGTGAAAACACACAAATGTGGAAAAATTAAACAAACCCGCCGGAGGTGGCTTCTCGTGGTCTTCCTAAAAGTACTAAACCATCCCTAAATAGCCATTTTGCTGAGTCCATATTTCATTTCATCTTGTTTTGTTTAATTTCATCCCAATTGATTCTGGTGTATTTATTTTATTGTTTAGTTGTGTGGACGTGCTCACGGCCCACCTGGTGTTAAGTGGTTACCGGAGCCCATAGACATTACAACGTAAATGCCGCCATCCACCCTGAGATATGAGTTCTTAGATCTCAGGTTTCGTATAGTATAATATAGCACAACGGCTGCCCCGCCCTTTAAACCGAAACGCATTACTGCTTCACGGCAGAGATAGGCGGGGTCGTGGTACCTACCCGTGCGGACTCACAAGAGGTCCTACCGCCAGTAAAAAATAAATCAACTTCATCTTAATTCGCTCCATTTCATTTTTATATAACAATAATAATGTGCATTTACATAAAATGTTGTAATTGAAGATTTCTATAAACTGGCAACAATAACATCGTACGAAGCCGATTGCCATATTTAAAACAATGTTTTGTAGATCTGGTACTACCGTAAAGTGAATAATGGAAATACGCATTGTGATCCCGCAAATACTACAATATCGTGGGCGTCCATTTCGGCTTTCACAAATGCCTCACCGTCATATAACATCGAACACAATATTCGGTGGGCTCACAACCCGTCAGATCATTCAATCCCGTTTCTGCAGGATAGCCGACGGAGACGTGGTATGTGAAGAATGTCGACCTTCACAACGATCTAAATTTTTAAACGATACGTAAGTATCTTATGGTAAGATCAGAACGGTACTTCGACAAAGCGGCGCGCCACGATAACCCTCTCATATTGTGGCCACCGCCAATTACATATCCGACCCAAACGACAAAGCAACGCAAAGCCGCCGTCACCTGAAACATGTCTAAGCGGATCCCCTGGATCCACTATCGGTGCTTTTAGGATCTTTAAGCTCCTGTCGCCGTGCTCGCCGAGCTTGTCGATCACAATGAACAGTTCGACGAGCGAACTAACCCATACACAGAACTCATTGAGTTTCTCGCCGAACCTTCTTGGTGAGTCGTGAATTCGATCCGGTGGTAGATTATGCGAAGCATTCCTCTTGCTAGAGCCAGTATTAGAAATTTCTCTCAGATTTGGCCTGTGAGCTCACTTACCCATCCGTATTGGCATAGCGCTAAAGGTTACCAGCGAATAGGGATGATCGATATTAGTAAAACATCGATATTTTTGGTAGGAAATAAAACTGTATATTACATTTATTATACGTCGTGTGTTTATTAATTAAAACTATGTTTTGCGGATTTTAGGCGGGCGTTTAATTATTGGACTTGACTCCGACATCACATTTCATAATTTACATTTTCCTTACTACTGTGGTGTGGCAGTAATTCGTTTCGAAGCACATTTACATAAATGTATGTATACTATGTATGTATGTATACTACATAGTATGGCATAATTCGATTATGTTCATCCGTGTCATTTAGTTTAAAATAGTTGTACTACCTAGAGACTTGCTAGCTAGAAAGTACTTCCACCGTTAGATGGCGCTAAAAGATATATGGACGTTTCGATAATTCGATATTTTATCGAAACCAAAACGATGTTTATTCAACATCGATGAATATCGATCATCCCTACCAGAGAAAAGGTGGGGAAAAAATCACAACTGGTGCAGTGTTTTAAAAAAAGTTGTTTCTTATAGAATAACAGATTAGTATCTGTGAAAGTGAGTCTATTGAACCAAATCTTTCTTGCTTGTCTTTCGAACATTCCATTAAATTAAATGCCCAACATTCAAGAGAGAAGTAATCTCATATTTTCTTCTTCTCTTAAAGAATCCGTGACATTTCCATCGACTTTCTTTCGCTTTCCTACACTTGTGCACTTTTATAGAAACTATTATAAATGGCTAAAATTCATCATTATTACACGTTCAAACATGAAAATAAAGAATACAACACCAAATAACAATAAAATATACCCAACCACGATCTTCTCGTTGTCGTCAAAAAGTGCTAACAAATTCATTCAGTTTCAGTTCCAAACTACCTAGTCAGGTCATAAGTATTGTCACACAGTAAAAACTTTTCTTTTAGAATGCTGGCCACAAAAAAGTTTATTGAATTCGAATTTCGAATTGTTCATGAAAATAAAAATGTATACTTTTAGAATTTTTACTCATTTTTAAATATGGAGTAGACGCTTAAAGAAGACCGTGTTGCAGTTATTGCGTTGCATCGTTGCGGTTACGCGCCAATTCAAATTTTTAACATACTGAAAAATTTGAATATAACCAAAAGATTCGTTTATCGTACCATCAAACGATACAATGAAGACTCTAGTGTAGATGACAGGTCAAGAAGTGGTCGCCCTCGGTCTGTTAGGACTCCGGCAGTGATAACAGCTGTGAAGGCGTGAATTCAAAGAAATCCCAAACGTAATCAGAAACTGTTGGCCCTTCAGATGGGGTTAAGCAGAACCACGGTGAAAAGGGTGTTAAATGAAGACTTAGGGCTTCGGGCATATCGAAGAAAAACAGGACATCGTTTGAATGCTCGTCTAATGGACCTGAGACTGAAGAGATGCCGCGCTTTGTTGAAGCGCGGCATCTCTTCAGTCGTTTGATCGTTTGGAGCCTCTGGGTCTGCGGAGGGACTTCAGTTCCCTCTGCATTTTGTACCGTATGTTCCATGGGGAGTGCTCTGAGGAATTGTTCGAGATGATACCGGCATCTCGTTTTTACCATCGCACCGCCCGCCACCGGAGTAGAGTTCATCCATACTACCTGGAGCCACTGCGGTCATCCACAGTGCGTTTCCAGAGGTCTTTTTTGCCACGTACCATCCGGCTATGGAATGAGCTCCCCTCCACGGTGTTTCCCGAGCGCTATGACATGTCCTTCTTCAAACGAGGCTTGTGGAGAGTATTAAACGGTAGGCAGCGGCTTGGCTCTGCCCCTGGCATTGCTGAAGTCCATGGGCGACGGTAACCACTCACCATCAGGTGGGCCGTATGCTCGTCTGCCTACAAGGGCAATAAAAAAA